CAGTGGGTTGAGCGTCCGACGTCAGCTCAGGTCATGATCTTGAGGTTTGTGACTTCGAGCCCCACATCGGGCTCTGTGCTGACAGCTAAAAGCCTGGAGCCTGCTTCACATGCTATGTCTCTCTTTCTCTCTCTCTGCACCTTCCCCACTTGTGCTCTCTCTCTCTCTCAAAAATAAATGAGTATATATATATATATATATATATATATAATTCCTGGGGCTAATCAGTTCACCCTAGGGCAGCCTCCAAGGTAGTCTTCTCTAACCTGTCCGCCTGGGCTGAAAGGACTCACGCTATCCTCCAGGGAAGCTAGATGCAGGACAGAGAGGGTGTGGGGGTGGCTTTCAGTCCCAGAAGAGCTCCTGCTCCTAGTCCACAGCTCTGATCTAGGCCTGTGGAGACCCAGGACTGGCAATGAAAGAAACCAGGGTCCAAATGGCCCCCAGGGCTGGCTGAGCGACCCCTGGGAGGCAGACACAGGGGTGGCGGCCATGGCTCTGGGGACCACAGGACATGGGAACAGTCCCGGCATCTTCTCTCGAAGCAGCTCTGAGGCAGACATGTGGTCTCTTAGGTGGATTAGCCTGAGCCAAGGCACCTTCCTCACAGCATGTGTCAAGTGCCCGAGGCAACACAGGCCCATTCATTCATTCATTCATTCCATACTTGCTACGTGCCAGGCACGGAGCTTGGCTCTGCAAGTTAGCTGTGAAGGAAACAAACAACGCCCTGCTCTCATGGAGTTTACATACCAGAAGGGGAACAGACAACAGAACAATAAACAAACCAATATGGAACCTAGTCCAGTCGAATGGTGTCAGGAAGAAAGATGAATCTGGATAACGGGAGAGAGAGTGAGTGGAGTGGAAAGGTGAGCTATTTCTACTTGTGGGCTGGGGAGGCCTCTGAAGAGAAGACCCTGACCTGAGCAGAGGCCTGAGGGAAGGGAGTGGGACAAGGAGATTTGGGGGAAGGAACAGAGGTCCTGCTGTGAGAAGGAACTTGAGGCATGATGAGGAGGTCAACGCGGCTGCAGCTTTGGAAAGGAGAGTGTGGTGGCACCTGGGGGTGCAGAGGTAGGCAGGGCCGCAGCTCTGGGCCCGTGGAACCCAGCTTTCTCTATGTGACCGACAGGAGGCCAGGGACTGGCTTCGGAGGCACCCAGAGCAAGGGATTCGAAAGCTGCTGACATACTATGGAAGTTGAGCTGACAGGATTTGATGATGGAATGGAGGCCGGTGTGAGGAATGAGGAGGCAAGGCGGATTCCTAGGCTTCCCTCATGAGCTTCCAGGTCAACGGTGCTGGTAAGGGGACGTTGAGAATTCCGCTCGGGACACGTGACGTTTGAGGTGCCCGTGGGCCACCCCCGTGGAGATATTAGTATGCAGCTGAAGCCGTGAGGCTCGTGTCTGGGGTTGGGCATGGCTTGCGGGTGGGGCTGACAGTTACGGGAGAGATGAGATCCCTGGAGAAACTTAGAAGGGAAGGGGAGGGAAGTGAGCACTGAACCCTGGGCCTCTACCAGGGAGAGGAGGTGGAACCAGCCCAGGAGACTGAAAGAGAGAAGGCAGAGAGGAAAGATGAGCTGTACTGACCAAAGGAAGGCACACCGGCAGGACAGGGGAGGCTCGACTGTGCCCCAAACCGCTGGCAGTCTGGACTGGCACGTTGGAGGTCACGGGTGAGCTGGACAAGAGAGCTTCAGCGGGGCGGTGGGGACCGAGGCCTCAGAAGAGTGAGCACAGGTTGAATAGGACAGCAGGGGACCGAGATGCTAGGGCAGACGAATCTCCTCGAGGGACGTTGCTACACAAGGGAACAGGGAAATGGAACCGTAGACGAGCCGTTTGGACCTGCGAGCAGAAGATGGAGAAGCTGGGTGGTCACTGATGACCTTGCCGAGGGACTTCAGAGCCGCAGCGGTGGACAGGGGACCACGGTGTTAGTTGGGAGGCTGGCACGTCCTCCCTGAGACTGGAAGGAAAGAGGGAAGGAAGGATAAATACTCAGGCAACCCTGAAGGGGTTGGAGGGCCTCGGCCGGTGCTCTTCCTCTCTGGCCTGAAATTTCACCTTGACTGTTTCTGGAAGGCTGACTGTTAGCAACCAAAGAGAAAGATGCTACCTTAAGCGCCACCCACTCACTATCAGCCAAGAGCAGAGCCGAGATGGAGGCTGGTGGAGGAAGGCCCCAAAATGAAGGGTGAGCTCTAGTTAGAGCCCTTTTGGCTCTATGCCTGGGTGGGTCTGGTCGGAAAAGCTGGCTTGGCAGGGGATGGGACATCAGCAGTCCACAGCCTTGCAGCCCAGGAGTTCGCTTGCTACTGGATGAGCATTTACTTACGAGCCCATCAGCTCCGGCTGGGGGCCTGGTGACACAGAGGGGCTAACAGGCCTCTGGCAGGGTGAAGGCCCTCCTGCTGTCTCCCCCTTCCCAAAGGGCCACCTCCTCCCACACCAGTGAAATGAGGATGACTTCGACATCTAGAAAAAGGATGTACCAGTTAGGATGCCTTAGGCCAATGGGACAGTGATGCTTGCTACTCAAAAGTATGGTCCCTGAACCAGCAACATCAACATCAACTAGGATCTTGCTAAGGCTATAGAAGCTAAGACCTACCGAATCAGTCTTAGTTTAGTGAAATTCCCGGATGATTCATAAGCACATTAAAGTCTGAGAAGCACTGGCTTATGCTACAGGTTCTCAAATTTGCTACACCTTGGAATCAGCAGATTTTTAAAAGTTCTGATGCCTGAGTACCACCTACCTTCCCCACTCCTCCCAGGGATGCTGACTTTACTGGTATGAGCTATGGCTTGGGTATCGGGAATTGTAAACCTTCCCAGGTGATCCTAACATGCTAACTTAGCCACAAACTTTGAGAACCCTAACTTAAACTGTAAAGATATTTATTTTGGGAGTTAGATTCCAGGGTAGGCTCAGCAACCCCCTGATGTAATTGAAGACAAATGATTATTAGAGTTTTTTGTTTTTTGTTTTTATCCTTAGGCTTGTCGCCTCATGGTTATAAGATGGCTGCCACAGCTCCTGGAATCATTCACCCACATGACAGCGTTCAGAGGTTGGGAATGAGGTGCAGGGCCAATGCACTACGAGTTTGCTTTTTGACTTCTTTTGTCAAGCGGGGAAAAACCTTTCTTAGATCCTTGCAACAGATGTCCCCTTGGTTCTCATGGGGCAAAGATGGGTCACTCTTAGCTGCTGGGGAGACTCGGAAAGTGAGTTTTGGGGTTTTTCATTGTCCACGGGGGGAAGCAGAAAGTGGAGAAGAGGACTGAAAAGGGTTACTGGGCAGGTAGTCAGCGGTGTCTGCCCTAAAAGACACATCTGAAGTACAAATGCACATGTGGAAACTTAACACATAAAATAACTAAGTAATTAGTTAACTAATTATTTAACACAAGCAAACAGGAAAGGTCCGGGTCTTCTATTAGCTTTCTGTTTTTAATTTACTTGACCAATTAGTTAATCATTCTTTCTGTTTAATTGATTTGCTTTAGGTTTGCCCGGATCAGAAATCAAAAAGGCTTTCTTTAAAACACAAGCTCCTTGGAAGGCAGAAATTCCCATCTGAATGTAAACTGTGCGTTGTTCCTCGCTCGGTGTCACTACACTCAGTAAAAGTGTAGGTGGAGAAAACAAGTATTAAGGTAGCAGACCACACCAATCAATGCTCCTCAAACTAACAAATGTGCTGTCCACAGCAGGTGCATAGAAAAACCCTTAGAATTTCATGTACACAGAAATTCCACTTCTGGGAATTAGTCCTAGGGAAATAATCATATATGCATTTCAGAAATAGTCATTGATAAATTGCTTATAAAAGTCAGGAACAACTGGGGTGCCTGGGTGGCTCAGTTGATTAAGCATCTGGCTTCAGCTCAGGGCATGATCTCCTGGTTCGTGGGTTCAAGTCCCACATCAGGCTCTCTGCTGTCGGCGCGGAGCCCGCTTCTGGTCTTCTGTCTCCCTCTCTCTCTCTCTGCCTCTCCCGCACTCTCTGTCTCTCAAAAATAAGTAAACATTAAAAAAAAATCAGGAACTTACATTTTCAATGAGAGGGCATTGCTTATATGACACAGCCATACAATGTGATACTATACAGCCATAAAAAAAAAATGACAATGTTGGGTGGTATTTAATGGCATGGGAAAATGTTCACAATATGTTATTAAGTAAAAAAAAAAAAGCACTTTATAGAGCAGTGTATAGTATAATCACATTAAAAAATTTAAAAGGAGTGCCTGGCTAACTTAGAGTGTGTGACACTTGATCTCAGGCTCTTGTGTTCAAGCCCTACATTGGGCCTAGAGCTTACTTAACAAAACAAAATTAAAATAAAATAAATAAATAAAATTATTTTTTTTTAATTTAAAGTATATGTGTGCTAAGAAAATAACCACTGTAAGAAGACATTACATAAATATTGCCTTTCTGAGTGGTAGGATTATGTGAGGTTTGATTTTTCTTTTGACTCCTCTGTAGTAAACATATTTTATTTTGCTATAAGGAGAAAAGTTAGAGCTCTTCAGCCCAGACAACTTAGCATGTGTTTGTGGAACTCTGATCCAGGCTTCCCTTTCTCCCATCTTCTCCCTAACCCCCACTCCCCATCCCCCTCCACCCCAAACCCCCCACCATCCTCCCCCCCCATCCCTAAGCAAGAAACCTCTCCCCCACTCCCCCAACTGGGAATTTTCATGGAAACTTCTGGAGGCCCCGCCCACTTGGCCCAGTTTATGTTTTGGTGGAAACTCTTAACGTTTCCATTGTCTGCCTTGAGAGTGTTGAAATTATTCATCTTAATTAAGTGTTGCCTAGGTGTTATTTTGCCAGACTCTCACCCATTGAATTTTCTTTACCTCTTCTTTGTTTTAGAAGCCAAGAAGGAAAATGCTTTAGTGGGAGGGTCACTCTCCCGTTTGCAGTCACTGCATCTGAAAGATGGCTGGAAGAAACGACAGTCAGGTTGGCCCCAGGCTGGCCTGACTTCCCACTCAGCCGGTTTTTTGGAGTCTTGAAAGCCAGCAAGAACTCTTTCTTTGCAGAAGTACCTTCCAGGGTTCCAAGGTGAGTCAGATAACATCCCTTACCTAAGTAACCCAGGTGCTGTTTTCACGAGTGGATGTTTATCCTCTGAACTAAAATGTGCATTCCTACTGCGTGCCACAAGGTTCCATGGGGAGAGGGAGCAGGTCTAGACAGGTGACCATGGGCAGCCTCTCAGAGGTGGTGGCATTTGAGCTGAGACTTAAGTGGACATCCAACCATAAACAAATCTGGGGAAACAGAGGTCCAGAGGAAAACAACAAGGGCAAAGACTCGTTTGGGAATGAGCTTGGCCATTTCTAGGAAAAGACAGAAGCCTGCGGGGTCTTTTCCGGGGATAAATTCCCACACTAGGGTGACAGGACCAAAAGTTAGAGACATTTTTATGACTTTTGATTACCACCCCCCACATATATGACTGGCTTGTTTTCCAAAATGAACATATACAGGATCATGTGTCCAATTGTCAATGGTTGTTATTCCAGGGGCGTGGGATTCAGAGGTTGACACGATGAGAAAAGGGACTTTAAAGTTCCCATCGTCTGCATGATTTAACTTTTGGCTATATATATATATAGGTATACATAGTTTTATTTTACATTTAAATTGGTTTTAATGTTTATTTTTGAGAGGGAGAGAGAGCGTGCAAGGGGGAGAGGGGCAGAAGAAGAGGGAGACACAGAATCCGAAGCAGGCTCCAGGGTGCGAGCTGTCAGCACAGAGTCCCACGCGTGAATTGAACTCACCAGCCACGAGACCGTGACCTGAGCCGAAGTCAGACGCTCAACTGACTGAACCACCCAGGTTCCCCAGTATATATCATTTCTTTTTTAAGTTTATTCATTTGTTCTGAGAGAGAGAACAGTGCAAGTCGGGGAAGGGCAGAGAGAGAGAAGGAAAGAGAGAGAATCCCAAGCAGGCTTTGTGCTGTCAGCATAGAGCTTGATGAGTGGCTGGAACCCAGGAACCATGAGAGATCATGACTTGAGCTGAAGTCAAACACTCAACCAACTGAGCCATCCAAGTGCCCCTGGTGTATATCATTTTTAAAATTTAAAGTGACCTAATGTTTTAGAACCCTAGTAATAAGAAGGTGGTAGATAATAGTGTTTTATTATTCTAAATATCATACATGCATTATATGAATTCCATTTTATCTCTGAAATATTTCATATCAAGCACTTGATTTTTGTAACATGTATTAATCGAGGGGTCCCTGGGTGGCTCAGTTGGTTAGGTGGCTGACTCTGATTTTGGGTCAGGTTAGGATCTCATTTGTGAGTTCGAGCCCCATGTTGGGCTCTGCTCTGACAATGCAGAGCCTGCTTGGGATTGTGTCTCCATCTCTCTGCCCCTCCTCTGCTCTCTGTCTCTCAAAATAAATAAACTTTAAAAAGTATTAATTTATACACACAAGGATTGCTGATTATTTCTTTTTAACATTTTTGCTTCTTTATTTGGTTTGCTTTGCTCTGATGTTAGATAAAACACTTTATACTATGTCAGTTTCAGTTTTTTGTCAAATGGGAAGAAATATCTGACTAACCTCTCAATTCCCTAACAGAATTGTTCGGAAAGTTAAATAGAATAGTAAATGGAAGGCACTCTACAAATTTTTAAATGCAGTAAAAATAGAACAGAGGAAAGAAAATTAGGAATGAATTTTCATCTGGAATGGATTTCTCCTTTTTCCACATCTCACCAAGGCCAGTGGCTTCTCAGTGCACCTTTCCTGGACTCTCCCATTCACCCTGATCTCTCCATCCTCTCAAGTGTTCTTTTTTCTTTCTTCTTTTTTTTAAAAAAAATTTAATGTTTTTATTTTATTTTTGAGAGAGAGAGAGAGAGAGTCAGAGTCTGAGTTGGGGAGGGGCAGAGAGAGAGGGAGACGCAGAATCCGAAGCAGCCTCCAGGCTCTGAGCTGTCAGCACGCGGGGCTAAACTCATGAACCACGAGATCGTGACCTGAGCCAAATTCGGACGCTCAACCGACTGAGCCACCCAGGTCCCCCTCCATTCTCTCAAGTGTTCTTAAAACTAAGGCTACACGATGTGGCACTTTAATGGTTTTGTATGCATTGATGATGACACAATATCCTGCTGGTGGGATTTGAGGCATTGGTGAGTAGGTAGAGGAGAGGAGATAATTTGGGGAAAAGGGTGCTCTTTCACGGAGAGTTGTGTGTGTCAGGAAGGGCTTCGAGTTTGGAAGAACCAAGTCCTGGTGTGAGTATTTCAGTGACTAGCTCTGAGCAGGTCAAGTCTTTTCACCTTCCTGGTTTCAGTTTCTTGAGTTGCGGAACACCTTCGCTCTGCCATTTACTACTTGGAGGCCGTTAAATGTCCTGTGGTCACTGTCCTCTACGCTCACCACTGTCCAGTCCTCGTCGCCCTCCCGGAACATGGGAGGCTCGGCGCTCTTGGGCTTGGGCGGGGTCGTGGGACTAGTTGCTGGCACATGAAATGACAGAGGAAGCACACTTCCAGGCGGTGAGAAAGGCACGCCTGCGTCTCTAGGCTCCCTCTTGCCCCGCCATGCTGTGGAGGAGGCCCGGTGGCGACATGCTGTGCCAGAAACTTGTGCTGACGCGGTGTGCCAAAAGGTCAAAGCAGCCAGGGTCCCCGAGTCACTGCACGGAAGGCTGCTGGTGAGTGGGAAATATTCTGTAACCGCATAAAACCGCTGACATTCTTGACACTATTACCACAGCACAGCTTAGCCTATCCTAGCTAACACACAAACTGAGTCTGAGTTTCCCCTCCTCTGGGAGAAAGACGCCTCGTTCACATGGTTGTGGTGCAGATGTGACGAGAGGACATATGGCAGGTTCTGAGCCCAATATGGTTCACGGAAAGAGCTCACTAAACGTTCGCTTCTTGCCCTCCCCTAACAAGATGGTCATTCTTGGCAAAGGCAGACAAGGCCATCAGACCAGACCTTCCCGTGGATCTCTGGGGCATAACAATGAGGTCAATAGCTCCCTATGGAAGTAGGCAGCAAGTATTATGAGTTCTGTCTCTCCACACTCCCCGGCTCCTTCCATGTAGATCCTGGGGCAGTAATTTGGGGTTGTTGAGAGATGTGGTTCTGATGGCTTCTGGCATCCACCTTCCATTTGCCACAAGCTGTGGCAGCCACACTTTCTCCTCACCACTGCCACCAGCTGCCTCCATCTTGTGGTGGGGGGTGGGGGTGGGGAGGGTGCCTTCCTCATTTACCACGAATTGTCCCCCTTGGTGCCATGCGACAGGAAAGAAACATTTGGGAATATCGGCATCTGGTAGGGCCCCTCCCTTAGTCTATGCCTTGACTCTAATACAAAATAATAAAAGTAAATAAGTAACGTGAAAACAAACCTCTGGGCTGTAAGTGCCTTTTTTTTGGAAAGAGGCAAGTTTAGTGAGGTGGTGGTGGTACGAGGAGGAGGACGCGAATATGGGAGTTCAATGGGGAGAAACAACCCCCCCCAGGGAAAGCACCTGGCCCTTGTTAAAGATGGCTGCCTCCACTCTGGAAAACAGTGTGGAGGTTCCTCAAAAAATTAAAAATAGACCTACCCTATGACCCAGCAGTAGCACTGCTAGGAATTTACCCAAGGGATACAGGAGTACTGATGCATAGGGGCACTTGTACCCCAATGTTTATAGCAACACTCTCAACAATGGCCAAATTGTGGAAAAAGCCTAAATGTCCATCAACTGGTGAATGGATAAAGAAATTGTGGTTTATATACACAATGGAGTACTACGTGGCAATGAGAAAGAATGAAATATGGCCCTTTGTAGCAATGTGGGTGGAACTGGAGTGTGTGATGCTAAGTGAAATAAGCCATACAGAGAAAGACAGATACCATATGGTTTCACTCTTATGTGGATCCTGAGAAACTTAACAGAAACCCATGGGGGAGGGGAAGGAAAAAAAAATTGAGGTTAGAGTGGGAGAGAGCCAAAGCGTAAGAGACTCTTAAAAACTGAGAACAAACCGAGGGTTGATGGGGGGGTGGGAGGGAGGGAAGGGTAGGTGATGGGCATTGAAGAGGGCATCTTTTGGGATGAGCACTGGGTGTTGTATGGAAACCAATTTGACAATAAATTTCATATATTAAAAAAAAAAAAAAAAGATGGCTGCCTCTGTCTGAGGCATGGCTCTACACAGCACTTTCTGCAGCCAGGCTGATGCTTTCCGCAGCCCCAGGAGAGCAATTTCTTGAATCCCACAGTGAGGGACCCGAGAGGTTAAAGCCTTCTTAGGAATTTAAATCAGTGCTATGGCAGGATCTTCCAGGACCAGTGACTCAGGACTGTTCACCTGGATACCTTCCCCACCGACACCCCCCCCCCCCCCAAATCTAGCTATGGAGGAGAGGATGCGAGCCATTTGCAACTGCTTTTAGCAAAAACTTTAAAGACTCAAAAGAAATTCAAGTCCATTTGCAAAGTCTAGGCCTGGCTGTGGTGGGGCCCGGTCCTACTTCAGCCACTCTCCTGGCCCACAGGAGCTGTGGCCAGACTAGTAATGAGCTATCCTAGAGAGTTCAGAAAAATGGATTCTGCTGCCTGCACTCCATCTTATGAGAAACAGATGACTCCTTGCTCTGAAATGGCGAACGCCTCCAGAAATCCATCCTTGTCCCTTCTTTGTTCCAAAGCAAACACTTGCCTTGGCTTCTGTTCTCACGCCCAGGCGCGCTCTACGGGAGCGGAGCTCCTGAGCCAAGGACCTGAGACTTGATTTTGAATGGAAGTCAACAAACGTATCCATGAGCTGTAACCACAGAGTAGTGGGATGGCTTTCATAATGAACATTCCAGACTTACACATCCAAGGAAGCGTTGTCCCCTTCAACACGGTCACCTGGGCGGGCTTCAGATCGACATCCAAGGTGATAATAATAGTAAGGTGTCAACATTTATGGAGCATTTACAAATGTTAGGCTCTGTGCTAAGAGCCTTATGGGTATTTCTCATTTGACCCTCACAGTCCCATTAACAGATGAGAAAACTGAGGTTTAGAGAGATGAAGTCATGTGACTACTAGGTGATAAAGCTGGGATTCAAACCCTGGCCCAAAGCTCCCCACTCCAGAGTTAGGATGATGTTCAGAAGTTGGAATAAATGCTGTCCTTTCAGGTCCTCACTGATGGTATGAGGATTCGCTGTCATTCAGGTTCGGCCACAGGAATCAGAAACTTTCACATGCCTTCGTGATGCTCTTGAAATCTCCCCACGGCGAGGTGTGTGGACAACATCCCAGCCATCCTTGGGAGAAAGGCAGGGACACTCAGAGAGGTTAAGGAACTTGTAGTAAGTGGCCCTGCAATAACTCTTGAGAATGAACTTGATTTTTTGAAACAGCCAAAAGCTATTTGGAGCAAAGTCTACTAATCTGGGTAATTCATCCAACTTGGCAAAATGAGGCATGTTCAGCATAAATTTGCACAAGACTGATCATCTTGCGGGGTTCGTAGTCTGGTCGTGAAGGCAATTTCAGAAGAGGTTAGAAATTTCTTTCTTGTCTGGACTAAAATTTGCCTCCTTGTAATTTGCTTCTGTGGCTCCAGTGTGAATGCTGGCACCACAAAGACTCAGCCTCATCGCCACCACTCTCCACACCCCACTACACCCTAACATACTTGGTTATCTGGTTGTAACCCAGGCAGATTAGAAAAGATGGACACAACACTTTAGAATCATCGGGGACATCTCTAACCTACAATGCCCAGAGAGTCTGGTTTTATCCATCAGTCCAATGGATAAAAGCATAGTTGGTTTTTTTTGAAGTTTCTCAAGTGACTTGTACACAGGGTTGAGAACCACTGTGAGAGGAGGAGGATTTAAACCCAGAGAAGCTCAGTAACTAGCCCAAGGGTGTCACATGTCCCGGAGCTGGACTTCAAGCCACTGCCCAACTGCTTCTTGCTTCCTCTGGACATGGCAACTCTCCTTGACTCACGAGGGTTCCTTGAGCTTGGGGTCCCAGCAGGGACAACAAGGGAGCAGCAGTCTTTGCAGTATGCCCCGTTTGGAAGGTGTTACCTGTCGCCCCCAACAATGCTGAATTCGTTGTGTCAAAGGTATCTGTGTGGGATGTGCTGTCTGCAATGCTGGAGAGCTGGGTGTGGAAAATAGGTACTCCCGGGTTCTGACTCTGCTTAGCCCCCATGTGAGGACATGGCCCTGGTGACACAGATTGGTTCAGAACCAGGAGAGGCCCATATCTGTAAATATTCTCTCTTGATTGCCCTGGATTGTTAGAAGTGCATTCTTCTAGAACTGTGATGTAAGCTCTCTTGTAATAGGGTAAGAAATCCAACTTTCCAGTGAGATCTTACCTCCCAGGAGTTAAGGCAGGCATCCTCCTCACCTTTTCCAGAATTCCGGTGCCAAAGGAAGCTGGTGGAGCGATGCTGCCTCTGTTGCTACCTTTCTTCTTGTAAGATTTTGAATTCTTGTCTAATTAAAAAAAAATTTTTTTTCAACGTTTATTTATTTTTGGGACAGAGAGAGACAGAGCATGAATGGGGGAGGGGCAGAGAGAGAGGGAGACACAGAATCGGAAACAGGCTCCAGGCTCCAAGCCATCAGCCCAGAGCCCAACGCGGGGCTCGAACTCACGGACCGCGAGATCGTGACCTGGCTGAAGTCGGACGCTTAACCGACTGCGCCACCCAGGCGCCCTTGAATTCTTGTCTAATTTAATTTAACCTAGCCTTACAGGGATTGCGTGTAGCCTCAGCGCCCATAGCCTTTAGCTGGGGACACGAGGAAGGGCTGGCCTCCTGGCCCTGGCCCTCAGCCGGAGAGGAATAACAGGCTGAAAGGAACCAAAAGCAGGAATGAGCTGGGATTGCCTCGACCACAGCTCCTCAGGGAGAGTCTGCCCTCTAGGCAGGCCTTACCTGCTTGGTCCCTCTCTGTTGGCTTTCTGCTGCTAACAGAGACCTTTTTCTGGCTTCTACTCCCCTTCCATTTCTCTTCCATGGCTGTCCCCACACCCTTCCCTCAAGTCAAGGGCATACTTGGAAACAACAGGAGGGAATGTCAGGCCAAGAACAAGGCACAGTTGTAGTGATGAACTGAACTGAGGACCATCTATTTACGTGAATACAAATGGTACTGCTTCCACAGTTGGTCTGCCATCAGAATAGCCTTGTGTGATATTTAATTTTATGGGTCTACTTGACTGAGCCACAGGTGCCCAGATATTTGGTCACATTTTATGCTGGGTGTTTCTATGAGACGTTTCTGGATGCGATTAACACTTAAATGAGTAGACCGAGTGAAGCAGATTGCTTTCCTTAATGTGGATGGGCCTCATCCAATCAGTTGAAGGTCTGAAGAGAACAAAACGGCTGACCCTACCCAGAGTAAGGGAATATTCTTCTTGTCTGATGGCCTTTGAACTGGGATGTTGGCTTTTTCCCTGACTTTGACTTGAACTGAACTGAAACACTGGTTCTTCCTGGGTCTTGAGCCTGTTGGCCTTAGCACTGGCACTACAGTTATCAGCTCTCCTGATTCTCAGATATTCAGATTCAGACTAGAACTAACCATCAGGCTCTCCTGAGTCTCCAGCTTACCAACTTGCCCTGAGGATCTTGGGACTTGCCCGCCTCTACAATCAGGTGAGACAGTTCCTTATAATAAATCTCTTTCTCTCTGTATACATCCTATTGGTTCTCTTTCTCTGGAGACCCTGGCCAATGTCCTTGCCTTCCAGATACTACTAATATCCCCATTTCACAGACGGAGAAAAGTTTCAGAGTCACGACCACCAGCACCTAGTCAGGTGCCCTGCCCTCTCTAGCAGCACTGTCTGGATCCCACTCACTCCAGCTCTGCCCGCCTCTTTCCCTCCTCTCTCCACCCCACCCCGCCTCCGTGGAAGCCCCGCCTCCATTTCCCTGCCCCATTTGGGCCAGCAAGTATCTGGAACTGGATCCAAGGATCTGCGTGGTATCTGCTTCTTTCACAGGCGAGTCGATATTCCTGGGGGAGTTAAAACACACTTGCTGGCCTTCGCTGTCACTTCCTTTTTAAACAGTTGGAAATATTTCAGAACCCACATGATCCCATTTGGTTGTCAAGCCACATCATTGTTTTGGAGAGAAGGCTGTATTTCCCGGAGACTGTGTCTTTCTAATCTCCATTTCTTTCCCCGCCTCTTTACACATTCCTTTCTCACTCCAGATAATCTCCTCGGGCCTGCAGGTTTATTTCCAAAACAACTGAGGGAAAGGTGTTTGATGGGGGCTCATCCATTTTGACCTGCTGTGTTTTCCCAAAGTCTAGGGGGTAGATTAACTTCTTCTTGGCCACAGGCTGGGTAATTCTTGTGCTACAGCAAATGCATT